GCTGGCGGAAGGATCTTTGGACTGCTTGTCCGTCGGGCCCTCGAGCGTGGTCGCAGTTAAAACTGCCTTACTGCCCCACGGGGTCGCCTGATGGGGAGGCAACTCGCGTGACGGTCCGCATCCGGACCTGCTTGCAGTTAGGCAAAGAACGCGCTTTCCCTCCCCTAGAGAGGTGGGCGGGCCTGTGCAGAGACCAGGGTGTCCCGGCTACGTCGCTCGCGAGCCATCTTGTCGTCTTCTCATACAGGGCGGTCCATCAGAGTCCCTTAGCCCCCTTCTTTCTTTTAGTTGTACCGTACCGAATGCAGGCGGGCGGGCGGGCTTGCATATCGTCGCTCACGGAGGCGCCCCACGGCGCCGTGCAAGCCGTGCAAGTATGCAACCCGTCCGCACGCCTGCACCCGGTACAGTCTCTGTCTCTCCCGCACAGATCTGCACGTACCTGATCGCGGACGAGGACGACGAGCGCAAGCTCATCACCTCGCGGGACCCCGTCTCCAAGACGCCGTACGCCGTGAGCAACAGGCCCAGCCGCAGGGGCTTCGTGTCCTACGACGACCCGCAGAGCATCCGAGAGAAGGTAAGGGAGCTCGCCGGGGGCGGGGGCCTGCAGACTGATTCCGAAGAGCGCTCAATGGGAGCTGCCCCATGAGTGCGACAAGGATGGAGCTATACGGAGGGTATAGGAGAGCGCTCTTCGGAATCAGTCGGCTGGTAGGTAGGTAGAGGATGTCACTGACTGGTCCATTCCTCCGTGCAGACACACTTCGCGCTGGACTCGGGGCTGGCTGGCGTGGCGCTCTTCACCATCGACAACGACGACTACATGGGGACGTGCGGCGCCAAGTACCCGCTGCTGAGGGCCGCCCAGCAAGCGCTCAACGACAGGGACTGAATAAAACACAGACAAAAGCTTGGGAGCTGCTCATTTTATATCGTACACCTTATCAAGACGTTTTTGGCCAGTTGTCGGAAAAGGCAAAGTCGACACGCATGGTTCCGATGTCGCGGCAATACTCTGAGAAAGAACCGCGAGGACACCCATTCCCAGCCCTATACCTCCCATGCATAACACATCATAATGTTGCAAGCACGAGACGAGCACGCGTCAATTTTGCTTGCTTCGCATTGGACGATTTGTGTGTACAAATTTTCTGCAATTGCGCGCACGACTCGTGGACGTTAAACGGAAAAAATTGCGCGCACGTGCACGAATCATCGTGCGCATAAGCTCTAGGTTTTATGCCTGGCCATTCGAGCCGCCTGGCAGGTGGCAGGTAGGCAATTTGCGATGCAAAACCCCTCGCAGTGACCCGAAGTCCATCGCCCTCTTCCCTTTTCTCGTGTAATCGCGCCCGTGGCAGCCGAGTGGCAGCAGACACGGTGCCGAGTCCCAGTCGGTCCCAGTGCGAGCAGAATACATTAAAGCAGTTGTATCGAGCCGATCAGCGCTGTCCAGACGAGATAACGCAGGGCGCGAGACTGCGGGGTGCAGGGGCGGGGTGGTTGCGCCCACAAAGAAAAATAATAAAATCATTCAAAACACAAGAGGGAAAGGGGAGTTTGCTAAGCGTCCTCTACAATTATGTGGGTGAGAGATTTCATCCAACCAAAAATTCTTTATAGTATGGAGGAGAAAAGCAGCGCAGTGTGTGTAAGCAAATTCCCCTCGGACCCAGCACAGCACCCATCGAGACGTTCTGGAAGGGGCATTGGGGGGGGGGGGGAGGAGCGATAGCAATGCGACCCCATCGGACAACAGAAGGCATCCGCAAAAAAAATACACACATTTGTAAACAAGGAGTGGACAGTGACAGCGGAGGTCAGCCGCGGGCGCAACAGACTCACCCTCACTCACACACTCACGCTCCCCATCACGTGACCTACAGCATTGTTTTTTAGAGTTGCGCCCTCTCCCCCACACCACCCCCCGCCCTGCCCTGCGCGTTAGCGCCCCGGGGCTGGCGGGGCGGGGTGGGGCGTGGGGTCGGCAGGGGGTGTACAGCACGGCAAGCACAGCCCCGCCGCGGCGAGCAGCCCGAGCGCAGCCAGTCCATGACACAGCGCCGCTGCTGCGCCGCACTCAGCTCAGGCTCAGACAGCTGATCACCGCAGAACACAATGACCGTGACTGCCCCTCGGTGGGCCCTGCTGGGGTTCGTCCTCGTCTCCCTCTCGCTCGTTGCTGGAGACTTTGTCAGGTTCGTACGTAGTTCACTGCTGGAAGGGACGGCGTGTTTGGACTATTTTAGTTGATCAGCCTATACGCACTTCTTTGCTCTGCCGGCCGGGCCGTGGCAAAGGTTATGGTTGTTATCAAAGCCCAGCCTCAAAAAAATCTCCTTGAACAGTCTTGCTGGAGAATTGCTGGAGTCCTGGAGAACATTTTGAGAACATTCGCTAAAAGAAATCGGTTACTGGTACATTATAAAATGATCATGAGCGGAACAAAGCGTCCTTTGTTCTTAATTTTCTCATCATCTTTGTCTTGAAAAACTAAAATAGTATATCTCAAACAGTTGCTCGTAAGAATTTTACTCAGTATTACGCTCGCCACAAACACTGATTGTGCATTAACTGTTTGCACTCACATCAACTTAATTTTCTTTTGATTCATTCAAATTAATCCAGACAACATGCTTACGTTTATTGTTTGTTAATCCTTCAGGGTTCCTCTGTATCGTGTACAGTCAGCAAGGCGACAGCTTCAAGAAGTAGGCACTGCAGTTCAGCAATTGCGCCTGCGCTATGGGGGACCTACTCCTGAGCCGCTTTCTAACTACCTGGATGTAAGGCCCCATAACTAATTTGATAGAAATTCAAAGAAAAGTAATATTAATACCTTTGCCGTTGAAAGTAATTTATATTTTCTATTTACCTTACCAGGCTCAGTACTATGGCCCAATTAGCATTGGAAACCCACCTCAGAACTTTAAGGTAGTCTTTGACACAGGTTCATCAAACCTTTGGGTTCCTTCCAAGAAATGCCATTATACTAGCATTGCCTGCTGTAAGTATTTCTGTGGATATTTTTGACTACTTTTTAAATATTATCAATTAATTATCTTTCTTGAATGTAACTGATATTTCTAATAATAAGACCTGAATCTTTTCCCTCAGTGTTGCACAACAAGTATGACAGTACCCACTCCAGTACCTATGCCTCAAATGGCACCAAATTTGAAATTAGGTATGGGTCTGGCAGCCTCTCAGGATATCTCTCAACTGATGTGGTTACGGTAAGAAAAAATTTACAGTGTTGATCCAGTTTATACTCTACTTTTATATAATGAAAACATAAATACTTAAATGTCCTTTGCATTCGTTAGGTTGGTGGTCTGGCAGTCAAAAAGCAAACCTTTGCTGAAGCAATTAGCGAGCCAGGATTGGCTTTTGTTGCAGCCAAGTTTGATGGAATTTTGGGCATGGCATACAAGTCCATTGCAGTTGATGGTGTTTTACCTGTATTTGATAACATGGTTCAGCAGGGACTGGTTGCTGCTCCCATTTTTTCATTCTACCTAAATAGGTGAAAAATTTAATTTTTTTATTAAATTTCTAGCATGTAGTAGCCTTAGCTTAGTGCCTTTCCAAATTTACCTTCATTGCTTTTTTGAATCCTTGTTATCAATTATTATTATTACTACTAACTAATAATTATTATTTACCTATGTCATGTGACACATCTTTTTCTCTTTGTTTAGAGACCCAGCAGCTCCTCAGGGTGGTGAGATCATCTTGGGAGGTTCAGACCCGAACCACTACAAGGGAAACTTCACGTACATTAATGTTGACAAGCAAACCTACTGGCAGTTCAAAATGGATCAGTGTGTACCTTCAATTAGATCTCCAAGTTTTTCTTGTTCTGCAGTCAGCATTCTATTCATAATAATAATAATTAATGTGTCTATTTGTCTCACCACAGAGTAAAGGTTGGTGGCGGCAAGTATACTTTCTGCCAGCAGGGCTGCCAGGCCATAGCTGACACTGGAACTTCCCTCATTGCTGGACCTGTTCAGGAGGTCACAAAGCTGAATCAGGCCCTCGGGGGCACTCCTATAATGGGTGGGGAGTACATGGTAGGTACAAATGTGTTAAATGACAAGTTAAAATTGAATTTTACTCTAGTGTTAAAAGTAGCTTTTTAGGGATCATGTAAATGGTACACTCAGTCTCAATTTCTTAATTTTGTACAGATTGATTGCAACAACATTCCTAATCTTCCTAAATTAGACTTTGTTCTTGGAGGGAAGTCCTTTTCATTGGAAGGAAAAGACTATGTACTACGTGTAAGTAATCAGTCACCCAACCAGATATGTTTTTGAATTGCACCATCAGTAACTTGTTTATTTTTCCCTTGACAGATTGCACAAATGGGCAAGACTATTTGCCTGTCTGGCTTTATGGGCATTGATATTCCAGCTCCTCTGGGTCCTTTGTGGATTCTTGGTGATGTGTTCATTGGCAAGTTCTACACTGAGTTCGACATGCAGAATAACCGAGTTGGATTTGCTGACGCAGCTTAAGTTTTATATGTAGTATTGTATTCAATTTTTTTTATGCAGTGGTGATAAGCAGACACCAAAGTGAAATAAATTACATTTTCTAAATTGTTGCATTTCTTTGAGGGCAAAGAGAGACACAAATGAAGTGGGATGATTGATTTAATTTGTAAATACAAGCCTAGATTGATTACAGCCAAGTTTTACAAATTTTCTAGTGCAAATCTGAAGACATGCTTCAAATTTAACATACAGAGGAAATGGGTTGGTTACAACATGGCTTTCATGGAATTCAACTCTTTATTACCACAATGGATCAAGATGAAACACTTGGCCAGGTTGTCCAACTGTACAATAGTGCTAAAGAAAAATTAACTAATACTGTGCAGCAGTAACATGCCAGGTAAAGACATAAAAAAAAATTAAGTACAAAAAATAACTGGTAATGTCAAAACTGTTGCACCAATTAACAGGTCAAACCCCACAAAAAGAAATGAACATGGCTCAGCAGCTCATGCTCAAGTCAAGAATGAATGAATGAACAGCCTTAAAGGCCATGCACACAGGACACCCACATATGACAAAGAGTCGAGTTCCAACAACCACCATAAAACACCTTTATCTTACACAGCGCCAATAAAACACTAAAGTCATCACGGCTAACACCTAATATTGGGGGACAGGGTGATCAGATATCCAGTCATATGTAATTCAGGTACCATCTAACTACATCAAAATACAGGCCTCTAATATAGGCCGTAGGAAAAACGAAAATAAAGAAAAATGATGTAGGAATGATCTTTAAAATAAGGAACTCATCCAAGTCAAAATGATGAAACAAGATACCTTGGATGAGGAACAGCAATTAACACAAATAGTGTTGCCTTGTAGAACCTTATCACTCATGTCCACCAGCAGGCCCACAAGGCAACACTAACAGTAGCACAGGATGACTTAGGCAGTGGTCTCTGCTTCCACTTTGCCGTTGCTAGCTTCCTTCTCTTCTGCGTCAGCGAGCTTGGCCTTCTTCTCGGGGCTGACACCCTCAGGTGCTGCCTCGGTCTTCTCATCTCCACCAGTTGACTTCCTCTTGGTGGCTTCCTTCACTTCTGCTGTAAGGAATAAGCAAAGATCCCCTGTCAATACCCACAAATGTGAATCGGGTTAAATATGAGGAAACAACGGATTTATCAATTACCTGTGCCATTCTCCGTTGATTCAGCCTCCTTTTCTTCTACCTCTTCCTCAGCTGTGCCATTTTCTGAGGGCTCCTCTGCGGTTTCTTTGGAGTGTCCATTGACAGTCTCTGCGATGGAGGGTTCATCGGCTGATTCCTCAACCTTCTTCTCGGTCTCCACCTTCTCGACCTTCTCAACCTCCTCGACCTTCTCAACCACTTCACTGCAACAAAAATATAGGAGAGCTTTATTAGACAAGCAACAGTTACGATATGGCAATTAATGTAAAAATTAAGACTGAATTACGATATTAGTCTTAGTTTGCTTTGAAGTCAGAAAATAGAGTAAAGTTAATTAGTGCCCCCTCCCTGACGCTTCCCATTCAAATTGTAGCAAGCTCTATGGGAGAAGGGGGAGGGGGGGGGCTCCATGTGAAAGCCTGCAGAGCTGTTCCGTTCGCCACAGAAAGGGGCAGGGGGAGAGGGGGAGGGGCACCCGCCAGCAGTGCCTTCCCGCCCGGAGCAGCGACCTCTCTCACACCGGGACCGGGCCGCGCTTAGGCGTGCTCGTGCCTTCTCTGTCGCGCAGCAGACCGCTCAGGCTCAGGCGTGCTTGAGCCCCCCGTCTCACTCGCACAGCGAACCGCGCTCGGGCGTGCTCACGCCGTCTCTCTCGCACACAACGCCGCGCTCGCGTCCTCTCTCGCACACCCGGCCGCGCTCAGGCGTGCTCGCGCAGTCTCTCTCGCACACCACGCCGCCCCGCAAACCTGCACTGCGCATGCGCGCTCAACTGACGCCTAGAATCGAACACGAAGACTCCAAACGAATTTGACTGTGTACGGTTTGTTCAACGCGACCCACTACAGAACAAGAGCCGGAAACCAGCACGAACAAGAGCAAGGCAAGGGATTGCAAGGGAGGAAGCATGAACAAGTAGAGCAAGCGGGCAGCACACCGGCACTGCCGAGCAACACGGTGACGCTCCAGACGACACGCCAACGCTCAATACAAGAAGCGCTACAACACAGATCGCATTCAGAAACAGAAAACCGTCCGAAGCAGCGAACTGGAAGCAAAAGGCCGGTACGGGTACCGGCCGGTCTGACGGGCGAGCGAGCAGAGCTAACCGCTGCCATCTTGGTCGCGCGCGGAGCGGGGCTGGCGGGACCACGCCACGCCGGTAGCAAACTCGCCAGGGCTTTCGACGGCGAAGTACAAAACAGAGTGGACGGAGTACAACTTGACACGAGGTACTTACGGGGTAGCGACAGCGGTGTCGGCCATTGTGTAGGTAGGGTTTAGTTTCACTGGTGCTGATCACTGGTACGAAGCGCCGCGCTGCTGCGTGGTGCGTGCTCCTGCTGCGATGGCTCGACTGAGAGAGGAGTGGAGCGGGAGCGGCGCGCGCGGCGTCGCTCGCCAGCCCCCTCCCTTCCGCTCCCCTCCCCTCTCCGTCCGCTGCGAACCCCTCTCTACATTTTCCCGCCTCAACCAGATCGCGCTGGCGAACGCCTGACCTCTCTCTCGCACGCATTCCCCGTTGCGGCCCCAATGTCTCCCATCCTTGTCGCGTCCTGCTCCCGCCCCCTCCCCGCGCCTGCCCTTCTCTCTCGCACGCTACCCCGGCAGCAGTGCGTCTCTCTCTTGCCCCGCCCCGCCCCTCCCCGCGCCCACCCTTCTCTCTCGCACGCTACCCCGGCAGCAGTGTGTCTCTCTCTTGCCCCGCTCCGCCCCGCTCCGCCCCTCCCCGCGCCTGCCCTTCTCTCTCGCACGCTTCCCC